ACATCATTCTTATTTTCATCAACAGTCTTATGTAGTTCATCATTGCCATGACCGTTCACTATTAGATCACATACGGTCTGTGGCTCAACTGGTTCAGATGTTGGTTGGTCCAGACTTTCTATCGTCGATTGGTTAACAGGAATAGCGAGCTCTTCAGTTGTCTGAGCATGAGTTCTATAAAGTATAAAACAACAACAAAAATAATTGATGGCATCCTTGCGCAACTTGACCAGAAAAAAGAAGAAGTCAAATGTTACAACATTTGATGGGATGGTTAGGGAGTGGGGGTTACTCAACTTAGCCTGTGTACATCCGTTTCTCACCCCTCAAAAAATCGGGGAGAGAACGTCTGTGATTTGCCGTTGCTAATCGTGTTCCGAGGTCACGTAGAGTTCCTCAAGATTTTGAGGAAGAATTTGATTGGATGTTGTATTTCAAGACTTGTGATTGGCCAAAATCAATAGATGGCGTGTAAAGTTGGTCACACGAGTGAAATATAAGCCTTCATGGTAAACCACTGGAACATGTAGAATGCTTCAAATTGAATATGTTATTTGCTTTCAAATTCTCTGTAAAAGTTTAGGCTTTAATCTTATATTCGGTCAGGGTAAATTTAAAATTGATGTGGAATTATAATGTCATTAGAATTCGCCGCCAATCTTCACGAACAAAACTTGCATTTGTCAGAAGTGCTAAAGAAGATAAGGGGGCTTAGTAGTTTGTATTCTACATCTCATAATAGCCTGCGAAAGCGCCAGAGTTACAGCTTCAAAACTGCCGAGGACAACGTAATCTTCACAAGAAGATATTAGTACGGTTGATGGAAGTCATTGTATTACGATTTTTTGAGGGGTGAGAAACGGATGTACACAGGCTACGCTTTCGGTCAACACCGGAAGGACCGATCTCAGCCAATTTTCCCTGTCAAATGTGTTTTTTAGAACTTTTGTAATCAACTTTTCAATGCTTTATTGTGCAGAAGAAAATCGCGTTCCTCGTGCATGAAATCCAATTGTTAAAAACTAAYAAATCCAGTTTCAATTTCATTTTTTTAGAACCT